GTTTAAATTTATAATAATAATGTAACAAAAACTATCGTTGATTTACTGGGTTACGAGATCAGATCAGATTTAAACAGCGATTACGTAACTGATTTTGGTGGTCATGCTAGGGTGGTTGTCTCTTAAGAGCATCTAGACATCGATTTTCTAGAGCCAAACCATATTCTACGGAGCTAAGCATCCGAAAATCAAGAATTACGGTTTTTTTTGAAGCTTTAAAAATATGTATGTTTATTACAGTACTTCTTTTTATCATCATTATTAATGACGTGTCTAATTAGCTAAGTTACAACAAAAAAAAATACCTATCTTCGTGCACCATTATTATTCAGTCTTATTTCACATCAACAGTTAATACGTAATAAATTTGATACTGTACTAAAGATTCGATTTGAAAAATTCTGATCGACTTTGTGTTCAAGAATATGGCTTACCGATATGTATTTTAGCATTTTTTCGGGTTTCATGTAATTAACAATTACTGAATTATGCACGAGGTATAAATTTAACAATTTAATATTCAATTAATAGAAAATGGCAACAAATAAATAAGTTTATATTTTTTTTCAAACTCATGAGCATTTAATATTGAAAAATAATTTTTGGTCGTCGTCACATTATATTGTATTAATTAGCAAATCAGTATATGTATATCTCTTCAGTAGTTTCACACAGTGTTTTAATTTTGAATGTTCGAGTTTTTGGCTTTTTCCCGTCCGTCCCGGGGCGGGACAACTTGTTATTGTCCAGAATTCTGCGGGTATAAATCTGTTCATGCTAAAATACATTTTACATTGTCTTTGATTTTTAAAAAATGATTAAAGTCACTTTTATCTTACGAAGACAATAGAAAAAATCTATTTGGATTGGGCAGATTCCGCGCCGCAAAATTCTGGACACTCTAACGGTCATTGAAGTTGTATGTTTGTACATATATATAACGATAATTTTTAGAATGGGTTATCTGAATTATACAGAAATTTAAACTGGGTTGCGATAATGTGAAAATGTGGGAAAATGGGTTAATTTATTACTTATTATAGATCGAATTTTTCTAGTGTTTACATAGAAAATCAATAATAAATTTGGATCTTAAATTTGGGGACCAAATACTAGTTAAATTTGACAAACGCGCCGTAATGTGTATCGGCATTAAAAAATCCGATTTTGACATACAAAAATAAATAAAATAAACTTGGTAAATAGATTTTATTCCTGAATTATTAATAATTAAAAATGTAAATATTGTACATGTCGATATGCAGATAGATATGAATTATGTATAGTTAAGATGGTGATATATTTTTAGTATCAAGATATTGATTAATTTTCGTCATCTTGTTTTGTTATCCTCTTTACTTTTGTCGTCATCTTTACTCTTATCATCATCTTTATTTTTATCATCATCTTTATTTTTATCATCATCTTTATTTTTATCATCTTCATTTTTATTATCATTGTTCTTATCATCGTTCTTATCATCATCTTTATTTTTATCATCATCTTTAGGTTCAATAACTTTAGTATCAACTTCTGGATCTTTATCTTCTTTATTATCTTCTTTAATAATATCCTCTTTCGTATCTTTCTTTTTTGGATACTCTCCTGGATGGCCTTCCAATTTAATATCTTTACATTTGCTATAAATTCTTAACCCCAATTGTAATTCCCATTTCTCCTCATTCTTCTTATCAGCGCTTTCTTTATCTTCTTCATCAGAATCAAAATCAGAATCAGAATCAACATAACCATCCCAAGCTCGAGAAAGTTTCTTAGCACGCTTTTCTTTACGTTTTTTACTCTCTTCATCCACTTTAGTTTCAGTAGTTGTTTCAGTCGTAACTTTATCAAATTCACGATTTATACGTGGAATTATTTCATAATTACCAGCTTGAAGAGTGATTTCGTGGTTAACACTACGTGGAGCTAATGGAACAGTAGAACGGCTACGGATTAAATAAGTTTCTTCGCCCTCTTTATATACACGGAAACTTAATCGATATCTTTTTTTCGAAAAATAAAAAGTAGTAAACATTTATCAAAAAAAGAAATTAGAAAAAAAACTTAAAAAAAGAAAAAAATGCATACATATAATTAGGTTTATCACTAAAATATCTATCATCCGGTTGTTGAAGCACAATAACTAAATCACAATCTTCTGGTAAGCATAAGGTAAATTTTCCTTTAGATTTAGGTATAACATTATAATTAATCCAAGTTGAATAAACAGTCCAACTTGAATCAAATAATCTACATTTATCAATTTGATCCCAGTATTTAAGAAAATCATCATAACTCATCCAGAAAGTACCATCATCACCGAATCTATGATTTAATTTAGTCATACGTTCAGAATTCCATTCTTTACTTCCATCACTCCATGCTCCTGTCCATTCTGATGAACCCCAAGGATTTCTAATTTGTAAAAGTTTAACATTATCTTCTATTTCTGCTACTCGTAAAATGCTATATGCGTGATCACTATAAGTTCCTTTTGTATCTATGTCTTGATCACTAGATTCAAATCTACTACAAGCAAATAATACTCCATCATTAGCTTGTTTTAATTCTTCATTCCAAAATTTTTCTTTATCTAAAATGTCTGAAACGAATATTAGAGTGTAAACTCCACCCGTTAGATCTTCGATTCCTATTTGACAAATGTATAAAGATAATAAATATACATACGCAGTATTATAATAAATGTAATAGACTATAGATAAAAATAATATGTAATGTACCTTGACCAGTCTCACCACCATGGATACTTTCGTAATCACCGTGAATCTTTGCATAAGCTTTTTCAATTAATGGTAACCAAGTTTCATTTTCGGTTGTGCAACGTCTAATAATTCAATGTATAAGTTTGTGTTAAGATTAAAAAAATTAGTGATCATAATATTTTCAAAATAATGCTTACGAAAATGTTAATTTCCAATTTCCATGTTGATCTTTACCGGACGTAAAGAGCTGATCATCAACGATTGTTGAAATCCAATCACCATCCTATAATAAAATTTATTTTTCAATTCTTTTAATTCACTTACATTTAACTTTTTCAATTATACAAACCTTGAAAAAAATAAATCCATAGACTCCAACTTCCTCATCTCTAGCCACACAAATAGTTTCTAATAATTTTGGAATATTTGCAATGACGGCCAATGAAGCAACAAACCAGCAATCCCCAACTTCACCTTGTTTAATATCATTGGGTTCAACTCCATCAATGAAAAATTGTGGATTCTTGTAAATAGCGGAAACTCGTTTTACATTATTTGTGGCGGTGAAATTGACTTTTTTTTTATTATAAAGACAATCATCCTTATTAACATATAAGTCGAATTCACGATCTCGGAATTTACGGTTTTGCCCACGACATTCGGCTGAGATCTATTGTAATTTAAAAAGTGATATCATTAATATAGTTATTATAATCATTATGATCTGATACTTTATTAAGACGGAGTCTGTTTATAAATCTACAATTACTATAAATACCTACTTTAGCAACTTTCTCTTTAGTTTGATGTATAGCATTTTCCAAATTGGAAGTAGCAGCAAAGCTAACTGTTTCGTGATTAGCACTAAGCCTTAGTAGTTGCTGCTGACTTCTAATTTGTTTATTTTTTTTAATAGTACCGGTAGTATCATATAATAATTTACTTTTCATTTTTTTTTTTTCTTTTCAATAATAAATAAATGAAAATGGGTGAAAAATTTAAGTTCGTTTTTTTTAAAAAAATCAAAAAAATTTTTTCGAAAATCTGTTTGTTGCTTTTTATAATTATTATTATGCGCTTTAATTTTTTATTTACTTTGTTACTATTTATTGTGTGCCAAATAAAATGAATCTGAATCGGAGTTCCGGATCCTTTTTAATAATAAAATGATTTGTCAAAAAAAGTCTATAAAAAAAAAATTCCGATTACTCATTATTCAAATAATAACATTACACAAGTTTTTGTTTTATACAATTTTCCAAGGAAAGTTTTAGGTAAAAGAATTTTGTTATGTTAATAATTATGCAATTTGGTTTAACGCTTACTGTATTAATAATTTTGTTTATATTTCGTGATACTGATCTTATTTTTAGTTTCCTAAATTTATAAAAATAGGTTCCACAGATATGAAACGTTTTATGATCGATGCACATGTTCTTCTTATATGGTAAAGAAATATTAATTAAAGTGGAATAGGCGTATGACTGTTTTTGTGCATTAACCCTAATTACCGTAACAAAATTTCACGGCAAATTCTCGATTTTGATAGTGACGATTAAAAAAATCAAGCCCGGAATCTTACTAATGAAATCGCAACCTCCTATTAAATAAAAATTATTCCTGGGCTAATTTTGCCATAGCGCGGTCTTACTTTCCAAAAATTTCTATTTTTGTAAAAAAAATTCAAAAAGTTAATTCCGGCCAGAAATTAGTTAACAATTATATAATGCGGGTCAAAATTTTGCAGATTAGCGTTTATTAATTCAGAATCGGCATGTGTCATTTTTGAATTTCCATCGATCAACGAATGACTTATGAATAAAAAGCAGCTTCAATGAATTACGCATCTTATGTATAAAGCTTTATTCATTTAACAGGTTCACCAATACTTTTGTAGGCACAACATTTAATCTATTCAAATCTAAACGTGTTAATGAAACTTCAATTCAAATCCAGACCAAGCTTTAAATATATTTAATTATTTTAAACTGATTGTACCAGTGTTTATCTCTTAAACCGTTTCTCCTGCAAATCTGCCCTGAAATTTTTTTTAAAATGAAATTTTTAAAATAAAATTTCA